ATTGTTCACCTATGGATGTGGATAGTGCGTGGGGAGTGAGGGCAGAGGGTGGGGTGAGAACTGGGAGGAGGGGAGTTATGGGGGGGAAAAAAGAGGAACAAATGTAATAATCTGAACAATAAAGATTTAATTAAAAAATTATGTATAACAGGATGTTGTAAAAATTAAGTTATGAAATGTTTATTAAAAATTTTTTTTACATACCATTATATTGGCTGGGCTGCAAAAATATTTGTTGTGGGCCACATACAGCCTGCCAGCCGCGAGTTTGACATGCTTGGTATAGATTTGTCATTTAAGTTAAAAGGTGCAATACAATTCTATAACGATTGTAAGCAGTATGAGAACATTTAAGGCAACTTAGGATTCACCATATGTAGTTGGTTAAGAACTTGGGAAGGCTTGTGAGCAAACAAGTATTCTAAATGATAAAGTGTTAACTTCATAAATGTGGTTTAAAATTGTTAAGGCCTTTTAAATAACTAAATTTTTGAATGGGACCACTTTTCAAGGTTTCTTAACAGTGTTATATGTTACTGTTTTTATCAAATAAAGTTATAAGTAGACTAAAGCAGTTTAAGTTCGATCTAAAAGGTTAAGGAAAACCTAACATTTTAAATTTGAATAAAATATTAATTGAAAATATAAATAATTTTAAGCAGTTGGTTTTTTTTGTATATATATATATATATATATATATATATTACAGTAAAAATATACAGCATGTTTGCCTAATGTTAGAAATTTAGTATTTATTTTTTAAGTAGTCATTTGCTCCTTACATTCTGTCAACAACTAATATTCTCTACATTTTACAGATGGGGAAACAGAGGCAGAGGAAGGAATCAGTGGCCAGAGTGGAGGCACCAGGAGGCAAAACAAGAGCCAGCGCTGCACTTGGTCACATTGCCCCACCTCTCCCCACTGGCCTGGCTTGCCCACTGTTTAGTTGGCCTCTAAAGTGTCCTTATTACAGGTAAAGTGAAACCCCACAATGAAGAATCACCCTTTATCTCCAGAAGTGATTATGTGACTAATTTGAAATCTCTGTGACTCCTTGTTTTCCTCTTCAGCATCAATTCTAGGACCATAATGGGGGTGGAAAGCTACCACTTGGCCTGAGAAGTTTAATCTGAATTCTGGGAAAGAGGCAGCCTGGCTCCTTAACCGTAAATAGGTCATTAAGAACAAGAACAAGTGGATGTTTCTCTCTCCCTCCACCCCCTCTATCCCCTTTCCTCTTTCTCTCTAAAAACAACTTTAAAAAAAAGACTAAATACATTGGGATTGAATGGCCCTCAGTCCCAGCTGAGCCAACCCTCTGAGGACTGTGACGTCCCACCTGGAGGACAAGGACAGGAGGAGAGAACACAGCTCCCTGGAGAAGGGCAGTGCGGCACAGTGAGAACAGTGGCATTGGTCAGGAGGCCTGCATTTAGGTCTCTGATCTGACTTTGGCCGAGCAGCCAGGGCAAACCACTTCCTCTAGCTGAGGCCAACTCCATCATCAGTGAAATGGGGTGAATGTTTGCCTCTGCTTGAGTCAAAAATTAGTCAGAGTGTTATGAAAAAAAGAGAAAGCTCTTTTGTAACATTAAAAAAAAAGAGGCCTGATTATATATTGATGGGAATGGGCTTCAGAAGAGCAGGCCAGTTACATTTTGAGTCCGTTAGAGCTCTGATATTTCCAATGGCTCTGTTTGCAATCCAGCCCCATCACTGGGCTCAGGGGGTGTCAGAGGCCTGAGTTAGAGCCCGTGAACAGCTTGTAAAGGCCTACCACTGACTTTGTAACCTCATCCCAGCTCCTCTTTCCTTCTGAAGAAAGGAATAACTGTCCCTGACTAGTAGGGAGCTGATCTGGCTCAGGGCGCATGTTCCCAAGTGCCCCAGCTATAACTGCTTGGTGTGTGCAAAGTTGCAAGGACAGCTGAACATGGACTTTGCATCAAGGACATTAATCAAGGATTTGAAAATAATTGCCTCCTATAGCCCTGCCTGAGTAGTTCAGTCAGTTAGAGCATCGTCCTAATAGGCCAAGGTTTTGGGTTCAATCTCCAGTCAGGGCACATACAAGAATCAACCAATGAATGCATGTGGAACAAATAGGTCTCTCTCTCTCCTCTCTCTCTCCGTCTCCCTCTCTCCCTCTCTCCCTCCCTCCTTCCTTCCTTCCTTCCCTCCCTCCCTCTCTCCCTCTCTCGCTCTCTCTCTCTATCCCTCCTTCTCCCTAAAAATCAATGAATAAAAATTAAATATAAAAAAGGAATTGCCTCCTGGAAACTAAATCCTGATTTTTGAAAATTCAGCAAAAAGGGAGGATAATTACATTCCAATACAGTCAGGGCTGCATACAGAAGTAGAGTTTATTTTTTTTAAATTAAATCTTTATTGTTCAGATTATTACATTTGTTCCTCTTTTTTCCCCCCATAACTCACCTCTCCCAGTTCCTGCCCCACCCTCCGCCCTCACTCCCCACCCACTGTTCTCATCCATAGGTGCACGATTTTTGTCCAGTCTCTTCCCGCATCTCCCACAACCCTTTCCCCCCAAGAATAGTCAGTCCATTCCCTTTCTATGTCCCTGATTCTATTATAATCACCAGTTCATTCTGTTCATCAGATTATTTATTCACTTGATTCTTAGATTCACTTGTTGATAGATGCATATTTGTTGTTCATAATTTGTATCTTTACCTTTTTCTTCTTCTTCCTCTTCTTAAAGGATACCTTTCAGCATTTCATATAATACTGGTTTGGTGGTGATGAACTCCTTTAGCTTTTCC